CTGCGGGCCAATTTTACACTCTTATCAATGTGAATGTTAACATGTCAATGTGAATATTCACATTGTTAACGCGTCGGGCCAGGCCCGCCCTAGGCCGCGGGCGGGCTTTTGGCCGTCCATGGGCCGCGGGCGGGCTTTTGGCCGTCCATGGGCCGCGGGCCAATTTTATACTCTTATCAATGTGAATGTTAACATGTCAATGTGAATATTCACATTGTCAACGGGCCGGACCGGGCCCGCCTTGGGCAGCCCATGGGCCGCGGGCAGGTTTCGTGCCGCCACGGGACGGGGGCCAATTTTACACTACTATTAATGTGAATGTTAACATGTCAATGTGAATATTCACATTGTCAACGGGCGGGCCGGGCCGAGTCAGGCCCGCCCTGGGCTACCGTCTAGTTTTATACTCTTATCAATGTGAATGTTAACATGTTAATGTGAACATTCACATTGTCAACAGGCCGGGCAAGGCCCGCCCACGGGCCGGGCCCGCCCACGGGCTGTGGGAGGGTTTCAGGTAGCTACGAGGCGCGGGCTAATTTTACACTCCTATCAATGTGAATGTTAACATGTCAATGTGAATATTCGCATTGTCAACGGGCCGGACCGGGCCCGCCCCGGGTTGCGGGCGGGCTTTTGGCCGCCCATGGGTCGCGGCCCAATTTTATACTCTTATCAATGCGAATGTTAACATTTCAATGTGAATATTCACATTGTCAACGAGCCGGACCGGGCCTGCCCCGGGCCGCCCATGGGCTGCGGGCAGGTTTCGCGCCGCCACGGGACGGGGGCCAATTTTACACTCCTATTAATGTGAATTTTAACATGTCAATGTGAATATTCACATTGTCAACGGGCCGGGCCCGTCCTGGCTCGCGGGCGGATTTCGGGCCGCCCACAGTCCAATTTACATTCCTACAAATGTGAATTTTAAAGTATGAATGTTTACATCATTAAATTGCTAATCGTTGAAAAAATATTTATAAGGGTATCAAAATTAAATATAAGGGCATAAGTGTCCAAGAAAATAGTGTAAATCAAGAAAATTGACTTTATGGAATAAAACTATTCATAAACTTCTTGAATTAAAACACTTCTAAATTAGACTTATCAATAAAAATCCCTTAATCTATACCATTTTGAAATAATGGGATCCCAAGTGACACAAGTTTGAGAGTGCATTTTTGAAAAGAAAAATGCTTAGTGCTCCCACTAATTAGGTGGCAGTAGGTCCCGCCATTAATGATGTGATGTTTTGGTCTTGGAATTATATATATATATATATATTTTACTTTTTTAATGCATTAGTGCTATTAGTGGTGATGTTTTTAGTGGGATGAATCATTGTTGTTTTGAAAATTCACCTATCAGTCAATCTCTGAACAAGTACGCCTAGGACAGCTACTACAGTGTTGTATATAGATACTTATAAAATAAAGAAAAATGCCTCATACACCCACTGGGGGTCGACCCCCAGTGAGGTGGCACTCCATTATTGGCTAAAAAAAAAACTGTTTTTTTTTTAAGTCAACCAGTGGGGGTGCGACACCTCACTGGGGGTGCGACCCCCACTTGGGTATGCAGCACTGCTGTAAAATAAATCAACAATAATTCATCCCACTAAAAACATCATCACGAATAGCACTAATGCATTAAAAAAGTAAAAAAAAAAAAAACACAACTCTAAGATCAAAACATCACATTATTAATGACGAGACCCACTGCCACCTAATTAGAGGGAGCACCAAGCATTTTTCAAAATAAAATGCCATCCCAAAATACACACTTTCAATTTACTACTCAGCATTACTTTACAATGGACCCCCGACCCTACCTTCTTCCATTTCTCTTTCTCTGTCTCTTCTTCATTCTCTGCTCCCAACTTGCCTCCATGCCCACCCGCGTCTCCTGCTCCCTCCGCGGCCGCAACACCAACCCTGACGGCGGCGCCGGCGCTGGAAAAAATGGTGATCGTCAGATTACACTCTTCTTCCGCTCCATCAAACGAACACTTTCTCTGAATAAGGTTAGTAGCACCAATTCCCAATTCGATCACCTTTCTGATGGGATTCTCCAAGAAATTCTCTTGAGATTGCCTCTCAAATCCTTGTTTAAGTTCAAATGTGTATCCAAAAACTGGTTTTCTCGGATTTCCGATCCCTTTTTTTCCCGGTTGTATGTGTCTCGGAAACTAAATTCCCCATCTTTACCCCCCTTCCGACTCCTCTACCGCTACGTTTACGTATCCCATTTCCCCCAAATTCTCAACCGCCTCTCTCCCGATTCTCCCCGTGTCTACCCATCTCATAATTTCTCTGTTCTGTCTCTCTCTACTTTCCGAGAATACCAACAGGATGACCAGTACAAGATCTTAGCATCGAGTAATGGCTTGCTTTTGTTTTGCTCCTTAAAGAGTCGTTTGCTTTACTATGTATCTGACCCTGTAACCAAACAATGGGTTTGTTTACCCAAACCCAATACTCCTCTTCGCCATCGTCGCCGTGTATTTGTCAACGAGGGCTTCATTGCTCTATCCGATCACAACAATTTGATTACTAGCTACAAAGTGGTTCGACTCCAGTGGCACTCTTGGGAGTCATCGAATCTAAATTTTGAGACCTACTCTTCGGAGACTGGTGAATGGGATGCGTATAGGCTGTCTTGCTCTCAGCCTGTTAGGTTGCTCAAAAAGGGCTGCCCTTTTGTTTATAATGGGGCTGTGCATTGGTTTTGTTATAGAAATAGAATTCTTGCCTTTGATCCTTACAAGAATGTCGAGGAATGTCGATTGATTTATTTGCCTAATTATAGAGATTTTGAAACTGAACATATGTATGAAGGCCTTTATCGGTTGTGCGAAGAGTGCCAAGGCAAGCTTAGGTATTTTGAGGCTGCTCCTCATATCACGGAGCCTTTCTGTTTTAGTATGTGGGTTATGAAAGATTACGATAATGGGGTGTGGGATTTAGTTCATCAAGCTACGCGTGGTGAAATTTGGTCGGTTGATCCTCACATATGTGGCATTTTGTTAGATTGTTGTTTCCTTCCGTTGGCATACCATCCATTTAATTTGGATATAGTGTATTTAAGATGTAAGGAGAGAACCTGTATTGTCGCTTATAACATTCGAACAAAACAGTTGGAAGTTTCTTGTAATCTAGTAGGCCTTTTAGAGGACCTTTCTTGGCGCGTGGTGATTCCATTTGTGCTCCCAACGTGGCCAAGACCGCTTCCTAAGCAGGCTAGCGGGGGGCATTAATCATTCAATGCCTGATAATGCCATTTGTGCTTGTTGAGTTGATGCAGAGCGCTCCTGTGGTGTCACATAATAATCCAGTCGGCAATGTAGAAGACATTTCGTGGCGCGTGGTAGTGCCATTTGTGCTAAACCAACAGCGTTCTCAACCCTCTCAGATGGTGGTCTAAGTTTTCATAAATTATGTATCTTTTTCTTTTTTTCTTTTTCATGTTAGCAATAAAATGTAATGTCTTTAAACTGTTGTTACAACTATATTATTAGGTGCTCTTATGAACTTTTGTCGACGACCTTTTATCTGAGATTGTGTTCGTTGTCTAATCGTTTTGCATGAGATACTAAATAGGTCATCTGTCTTCAACAAGGCTGAAGATCTGTGTGTTTACTTTGCTATTTGTTATGCATTGATGCCTTGCCTCCATAGAATGTTTGTTTCTCTTCATACTTTAGTTTTCTTGGCCAATTATATATTTAGGTCTAGAATCTAAATGAGATTATATGCATTATAATTGTAATGTAGTTCAGTTAAAGGCAAAGTCTTAGACATGAATGTAAATGGACAAAGGTTGGATGTTGTGAATCATTGCTTTAATTGACTAAGAAGTAAGGATACAAACACATATGGCATACACAAAATATAAATAATTTTATGTATTTATTAAAATATAATAATTTTTCAAGCCTAAAAGGAAGGAATAGGTTTTTTCTTCTATCATTGATTTCAAGTATTTTATATAAATATGCAAGCATTTCATTTGTTCTTGATGTAGCTCGTTTTGAGTTTTTGTTTAAAGGACCTGTGTTTAGGTTTTCTGGAGGATACCATACTTTAATTGTTTCTAATTTGAAAGCTTTTCTTCTTCCTCCAACTCGTTTTGTAGTAGTTTTAATTGTATTCTCAGTAGTGAGACCAAAATATATATATATATATATATATGATAAAATTATACAAAAAATAATGAATGCTTTTTATTTTTATTTTTTTTCTAAATTAATTTTTCATATCATTGTTAGTTCTTTATTTGATGTGGTCATGGTGGGAAAGCTCATACCCTTGGACCAAAACTGGATTGCCGATTCAATTTCGCAGATCTTGCTTACGGTCTGTAGGAAAGGGTTCAAGAAAAGAGTTGGAAAATTCGAAGATCTTCGAAGATCCTTGAAGAACAATTTCGAATTCTCTAGAATATGATGAGAGGCTTAGATTCTTCAATAATCTCAACTTAGGAACACGACAACAAAGGAGATGATGGAGATAAGAGATTGGGTGAAGAAGAAGGCAAAATGGTTCTCCGAGGAGGTGACTTCTCCGAGGAGGTGACTTCTCCGAGGAGGTGACTTCTCCGAGGAGGTGACCTCTCCGAGGAGGTGACTTCTCCGAGGATGAGAAAACCCCGAAGAGGAGATCACTCCCTCGGCGAACCCTTCTTCTTAGCCACACCTAACCAATGATCTCCAATCATCCCAAAGGGTCAGGGGTAGTCCCAGAGGACGTCCTGCCGTAAAATATTGCCGAGTCTCATGGACCCCCCGGGGTCGTGCCACCTCGACCCGGGTATAGGCTAGTTTAACCGAAGAGTGAATTTATCTCCACTCACCGTCCTCGGGATCGGGTCCTTTGTTCGAACTCCATTACGCCCATGGTTCTGGTGCGTAGATCCCGGAAAGTTCCGAGCCCGCAAGTGTTCTGGGACTCATTAACGGAGCGACTTCTAGATTGCGTCTGAATCCGTTCGAAGCCAAGTACTTCGGATCTCTAGATTCGTGGGTCCGAATCCTTTCGAGTCCGAGTGCCTCGGATCTCTAGGCTTGCCTAATACCCTTTCGAGTTCCGAAGTGTTTCGGACCTCTAGGTTCGTGGATCCGAACCCTTTCGAGTCCGAGTGCCTCGGCTCTCTAGGCTTGCTTAATACCCTTTCGAGTCTGGGCCTGAGTAAGTCTCTAGGTTCGTGGATCCGAACCCTTTCGAGGCTTAGAGCGATTCAATTCGTTTGATGGCGATAAATCTGGGCCCACCGATTCTTGGACTTGCGATAAATTCGGGCCCACTAATCTTGGGCTATTGGGCCTAAATAATTTAGTGGGCTCAAATTAGCCCCTCTTACACGGTCTGTCATACAAAACTAGATTGCCAATTCAATTTTGCAAATCTTGCTTTTCGGCCGGTCATGCAAGTTTGGTTAATCGAATTCTTACTACTGCCCTTGTTTGGCAACAGTTTTTATGCTATTTTTTTCAATAAAATATTTTAATTAAAAATCATGAGTACTTTTTAGTATTTGATAAAAATACACGAAATACTTAATTAACATTTCAAATCTATCACATACTCTTTAACATTTGAAAGTTGTATCAATAAAATCGCACGGACCTAGCCTATGTTTGGGAAGTGAGTTTTGTGACTTTTTTGGCTAAAATAGTTAAAAAAAACAAAGGGATTTTTGGTGAAACTCCCTTTTTGGGCCTTTTTATTAGGGTAAAGGATAACTCAATCAAATTTTTTTTCAAAAAGCTCATGAGTAGGAAATTCCTACCTTAATAAGGACATTTTATAATTTCTATTTTTTTTTAATCACAATATTGCCCTTATATATATAGGTATCATACGTTTGAAAATTTTGAAATATGAGCTAAAGATCTCGCAGGAACGAAATCAGGAACAAAATCGATGAAGACGATCTCCAAATTTGAAGATCTCGCAGCCGAACATCTCTCACTTGTTCAACAATAGATGATCTCGCAGCCGAACATCTCTCACTTGGTGGCCGATGATCAACACTCTCAATTAAACGAGAGTTTCATTGAGATTTGTGACTGTTGATCGAGTTGTAGAGGTTTTTCTTCTCAATTAGATATGTTGATTAATTTTTTTTGTTTTCGTTTGTTTGTTTGTTTTTTTTTTTTGATTTATTTTTGTTATGTTAGATCTAATTTCGTTTGCCAGAATCAGAGTAAAATTTTACTCTGGTTCTATTGCTCTGTCTTTTGTTTCAGAGAATGAGAGTAAAATTTTACTTTGGTATTAGAATGACAGTAAAATTTTGATTATTAAGAAGATAGGGGAGATATGTTCTTTTAGCTTATGTGTTTTAGTTATCAATTTTTAACTAGCAAAAAAGTTGCACCAAACAAGTTCATTGTTTGCAAAATTTGTACTTTTGTGCAGAGTAATATTTTACTTTTATATTCAGAGTAAAATTTTACTTTTGTACAGAGTGAAATTTTACTTTGAGATTAAGAGTGTAACTTTTTACTCGTTTTTCAGAGTAAAATTTTATTTTTATACAGAGTAAAATTTTACTTTTAAATTCAGGGTGTAACATTTTGCTCTTAGATTCAGAGTAAAATTTTACTTTTATGCAGAATAAAATTTTACTTTGCATAAAAGTAAAATTTTACTTTTAAATTCATGTTTCAAGTTGTGTTTGTGATACACTGTATGAGTTGTCAATCCTTGGCAAACTAAATAGTAAAAATTAACTCTAAAATATAGTACAATGTTATACTAAACCACAGTAAAATTTTATCAATTCAAACTAAACACAAATTGTAGTGACAGTAAAATTTTACTTTGATAGTGATAGTAAAATTTTACTTTGATAGTGACGGTAAAATTTTACTTTGATTGACAGTAAATTTTTATTGTTAATTGATTGCAGATTTGTAAAATGGTTCCACCTCTTATGTTGTTATGCAAGTATGGTGATCGTACCATTGTGTTCAAAGTTGTGTCAAACTGCATGTTGAAGGATTTAACTAATTTCTTAAGTTGGAAACTGAAGACGTTTGACAGTAGTGGTTGCATACTGTTATCGTACTGTTTACCTAGACATTCGCTATGTATGATTGATGATGATTCTGATTTTCAGAATATGTTGTCGCTTGTTTATCCCCTTGGTGTTGACCGGGTTGATGTGACTATTACTGAAATGGGCATTTCAAATGAAAAACATGGAGTTAGAGAATCAGGGGACGCTAGTGGATCCAATATTACTGATGATGAAATGGATTTACTCCCTATGTTTTGTCAACATGAAGAAAGGACTTTGTTGTCTTGTAGATGGGTGAATGGAATTACTCGTGTAGGTCAAAGATTTATTGGAGGTGCAAAGGATTTCCGGACTGCATTATGTAAATATGCCATTGAGATAGGATTTGAGTTTGTGTATGTGAAGAATGAGAAGTGTCGGGTCACTGCTGTGTGTTCAATGCGGGAGTCCAAAGCTTGTTTATGGTGAGTACATGCATCTCTAGAAAGTGCTAATAATTTTTTCTACATTAGGACTCTACATGATGAGCATACTTGTGGAGCTGCAGTTCGTACTTCTAAAAACTCAAGGATGAGTTCAAATTTGGTTGCAAGTTTGATTGTTAATGAAGTTCGTGGGAATCCCCAAACTCGTCCAATTGATGTTGTGCGTCAATTTACAGATCAATATGGGCTCACCATTACGTACAATCACGCTTGGTTGGGAGTTGAGAAAGCTAGGACTACTACTTTTAGAGATTTCTCTATGTCTTATGATGAGATTCGATGGTGTATGGATATTATGATGAGCACAAATCCTGGTAGCTATTTGCGTCTTGACTATAACCATCAAAGTGGACGGTTCAAGGGGTTTTTTGTTGCATTTAATGCTTCCATTCAAGGGTTTAGGTATTGCCGTCCTCTATTGTTTATCGATGGAACTTTTCTGAAAGGGAAATATAAGGGCACCTTGTTAACAACAACAACGAAGGATGGGGATCAAGGTAGATATTCCTATAGTTTATTTAAAAGTAACAAGTTACTTATTCTCAGAGCAACATGTTACTATTATTCAGAGTAAAAATCTACTATATTTGTCCTTTTCGTTTAATAGACTTAGTAATTGTAAAATGTTATTTTTCATGTTTTTTCCCTCTTGCAATGGCAATTGTCGATACGGAGACTAAAGACAGTTGGGAATGTTTTTTTATGCATTTGTCGAATATATTGTTGGATGAAAGACCAATTACCTTCATATCTGATTGGAACGCTAGACTTTTGGAGGCTTTACCCAAGGTTTTACCTACTGCTTACCACTATTTTTGTCTCCAACACTTGAAGGCCAATTTGAGGGATAGGTTCTCTGGTCTAAGTTTCAACAATACTTTCAGGAGTAGAATAGTTTTTTTTGTTTTCATGTGCTTATGCTCTGACAGTGGGATGTTTTAATCAGTGCTTGAAAGAATTACAAGATGAGGGAAAAAGGGATCGTTTATGGGTTTCTATCCAATTTGCCCTATGACAAGTGAACTAATGCATATTTTAAAGGACAAAAATACGGTGAAATGCACTCGAATGTGGCAGAGTCTTTTAATTCATGGATCCGTCAAGCTCGCCATTTGCCCACTACGAAGATGATTGATTCAATTAGGTTAAAGATCATGGATTTGATGTCGAGAAGGAGAGAACAAGCTAAGAAATGGAATACTTTTCTTTGTTCGGAGATGGATTCAACGTTAGTAAATGCTCTTAAAAGTGGAAGAACTTGGTTGGTTAGTCGTTCAAGTGATCATGTTTTTGAGGTTCAATCCCGACCATCGGTTAACGTTGACCTCTTGAATAGAACTTGCTCATGTTACCAATGGCAATTGAATGGATTTCTTTGTGCTCACGCGGCGACTGCTATACAAAAGAGCGGATGTGATTTGTATGCACATGTGGAACCATTTTATTACACTAGCAAGTTCAAAGCTTGGTATGCTGAGTCCGTTTATCCAATACCCACTGTTGAGAAATCTCTTGTAGCTATGGATGATCTTGTTGTCCTTCCTTCAATTTGTAAGAAGCTACATGGTAGGCCAAAGAAGAATAGGATTCCATCTAGGGGTGAGAAGATAAGACGAGTACAGTGTGGTAGATGCGAGAAGTACGGTCATAATAGGAAGACTTGCAAGAAGACATTGCCATGAAAGACATTATTGATTTTGTAAAAGAAGTATGAAAATAATGCAGTTCTTCTGCAATAAATAGTCTATAGCAATAATAGTAGTCTTTTAGACTAGATTTGTAAGTAGACATTGCAATAAAAGACATTTTTACTATGTTCTTGAATGGTTGTCTCTTCAAGTTTCTGATTTGCTTTGTGGTTGAGTTTGACATTTTAATATATTTTTTTAATGTGGTTGAATAAGTTTCATGTAAATGAACTTATAATGGAGTTTGTTCAGTAGGTGTGAAGGTTTGAAATGGCTGTGCTCAGCTTGTGTTTTCAAAGTAAAATTTTTTGGTATTTCAGAGTAAACTTTTACTTTGTTGCAGAGTAAAATTTTACTTTTTCGAGAGTAAAACATTGCCTTCATTCACATAAAAGTAAAACTTTACTGCCTTTCAAAGTAAAATTTTACTTTCTTGTTGAATGGTTCTTTGTGGGTGTAATGAGCCTGTGATTTTACAATAAATTTTTACTTTATTTCAGAGTAAAATGTTACTTTTAGATTAAAATTTTATCTTATTTCGGAGTAAATTTTTTTTTTATAGAGGGTAAAATTTTACTTTTATGCAAAGTAACATTTTACTTTTAGATTCAGAGTGTAATATTTTTCTCTTTTTCAGAGTAAAATTTTACTTTTATACAGAGTAAAATTTTACTTTTAGATTCAGAGTATAACATTTTACTCTTTTTTCAGAGTAAAATTTTACTTTTATACAGAGTAAAATTTTACTTTTATGCAGAGTAAAATTTTACTTTCAGATTCAGAGTGTAATAATTTACTCATATTTCATATTTCAGAGTAAAGTAAAATTTTGCTTTTATGCAGAGTAAAATTAACCTCTATTGCAGACAGTATGTTAGTCACCTAGAAAAACATTTCCAACCTGCACCAAAATTTACCACAATACACAAACTCTCCCTGATGATCATCATGCAATTTTTGTGCAAAAATAATCTAACAATACAACTACATATATCATCAAAGATACACAAGTATAATCTATATCATTGTATTCTATCCATAACAACGTTCATTCCTAGTCAAAACAGTATCCGACTATAATAATGTATTAATTACCAAACCATAGTAAAATTTACTAGAACAATAGACATAGCATGTACTATCTGATACTCTTTTAGTATTGTTTCACTTACAATTACTTTTTCACCATTCTTTCATTTACAAAATCCAAAATTACATACATCATTCACAGTAGTTCCCCAAAAAGTTGTCCATATTGTCATCCTTGAGGTCTTAGCTCTAGCCCTTTTTTTTTTTTTTTTTTTGAGGTTGAATTCTTCCTCAGTCCATGCTTTTGGATAATCATTCAAAAATTGATGCACTATTGACGCTCGAAAATTGTTGATTTCATCATCTTCCATAGAATTTGCAATAGGCTCATCTCTTATGATTTGGCGCATGATATAACATACAATAATTCCGCAATTAACACTGTTAAAAAAAAAAATCAAGATCTTGTTAGATTTAGTCAAATTTGAAAAATACCAATTCAAGCATGTAGTAGTAGCATGAAATACTTACGATGTTGGGCGTTGTTGTGGACTATCTTTCACCGAAACCAAATTTGCAAACTTTCTTCTACCTCTCTTCGTTTTGTTGGTCAACTTGTTCTCTACGTATGTTATCTAACATCATTGCATAATTGTTTGGTCACGATTAAATACAACAATAAGACACAGTAAAAAATTACTGTTAATATGATGCAAAGCACTTACAATCTTTTTTGCATCCTTAAGGTAAGGATCTTCTCTGTTGTCTCTTGGCCTTAAAGAATTGTAATGTCTTCACTCATTAAATTCAGTGTCAAATACAAGAAGTGTCCAGTGGTAGGGTTGTTCTTCCTTCTTGTTCCCATTGGAATTCATGCAAAAATGAAGGTATCTGTATCCACTCAAATCTTGTTCAAGGACTTTATCAATTAAATGATTTCTCAATTCTCCATAACCCGATTTCACTAAAGACTGCATTTAATCATATAAGAGTGTCATGTCTCAAGTTGTGTTGGTGACACACTGTATGAGTTGTCAATCTTTGGCAAACCAAATAGTAAAAATTAACTCCAAAATACAGTACAATGTTACACTAAACCACAGTAAAATTTTATCAATTCAAACTAAATACAAATTGATGGCTTACCCAACAAAGGCTTGAGAAAAGAATGATTTATTCTTTTCTGACTTCTTTGCTTGTTGCTCAATTTGAAGCATTTCTACAAAGCTGTCGATGACCTACAAAAACAAAAATCAATTAACTATATGTTAATAAAATGAACTATATTTAGTTATTGAAGTGAACACTAGTCATTGAAACTTATATGGTCACTTACATTATTTGCAGTATCACCATCTCTCAGAATTGCATCCACATCATGCAATGTAACATATACTCCATTTTTTGTGCTGGACCATATGATTGTACTAGTCATAAGGTAAAAAAAAATGTTGATTAGCACATTGCAGTTTGATAACAGTAAAAATCTATTGTTTGATAAAATTAAAATGGTCTTATTTTGTGGTTTCTAAATTGTAAATCTTGCTCAGTAGACACTTATCATTCTCATCAAGCAATTTGCATATTGCAGCGTTATCTGGAAACAAAACCCTTCCAACTGGCTTTGGTTGGCTTAGAGGCAAGTTAGGCAAGTTGTCAACACAAATCACTTTATTTGATATCACTTCAATTGCTTGCTTTGTGGTCTTTTTTTTCTTTGCCTTTCTTGGCTCACATTCAAAATCAGACATCTCTTTTTTCTTCCTCGCCTTGATTTTGATTTTCTTGACCATGGATGTTTGCAATAGCTCTATGACTATAGGTGTTTCTTTCAATGTAGTTCGAATCCCAAAGTTTTGCTCTTGTTTTACTCCTTTAACTTGTGGCATTTCTTTAAAAGCAAAAGCTTGGGTAGCCGCATGAACTGCATTTTCTTCAATCTGTTCAACCAACTGTTTATTTTCAGATTCGAGTACTTCAATCTCTTTTCTCAGTTTCTCTATCTCTTTCTCTGTGTTGCTCATCTTTTCTATCATTTCTTTTTTTTTTTTGCCTCTTGATCCTCTTGTATTTTTTGCATTGTCTCCCTCATTTTATTCAGTTCTTCAACCAATGCCATATTCTCACTTTTTAGCCTTTTGTTTTCTTTTTGAACTCGTTCTAATTTCCCAAGATCAATGAAGTCCTTCAAAGGTTGATCATCTGCTAAAGCTTAAGTTACATGATCTTCATTTTCTTCAGTCTCCAAATTTTCCTCTATGTCTAATGCATCTTCATCATCATCATTGCAAATGAGTTATATTTCTTCTCTGGAAATGGGCTTCAGTTCATTGTGATTTACCTGCATTTGAAAAATAAAAAAAGAACAGAAGTCAGCAATGAAGCAAACTTTAACCACTAGAGTAAACTTTTACTCTGATTGTAAGTAAACTTTTACTCTGTTCAAGAGTAAGTAAAATTTTACTCTGATTGTAAGTAAAAGTTTACTCTGATTTAAAGTAAACTTTTACTCTGTTCAAGAGTAAGTAAAATTTTACTCTGACTGTATGTAAACTTTTACTCTGTTTCAAAGTAAAAGTTTACTCTGATTGTAAGTAAACTTTTACTCTGTTCAAGAGTAAGTAAAATTTTACTATGTTTCAAAGTAAAAGTTTACTCTGATTGTAAGTAAACTTTTACTCTAATTTTAAGTAAACTTTTACTCTGTTCAAGAGTAAGATTTTATTATGTAAGTATAATTTTAAGCAAAGTGAACCAGTAAGGCTGAGCTTGGAAAAATGATACCTCTTCGGGCTTTAGTGTTTGCAATGACCTCTTCATTAGCTTTTTCCTCAACGTTGACAAGTCCCATCGAAGGAGCCTTGGATACAAATTTTTTCCTTGAGGTTGAATGAGGGTAGTATGCTCGCATAACCAGTACTATAAAATAAAAAATAGAAATTAATTAATTCTCTAAAGATAGATTGCGTAATATTTCAAGTAGTTCAATTTACTTACCAAAAGAAGAAGTACACATCTAGTTACATTTTCAAAACTTCCTAAAATGGATTGAAGTAGTCAACGTGGATGCAACTGCAGTCGACCATGCATATAAATTCATCATTTTCATATCTTCTACAAGGGCGACAAAAGCCCATCCAACTATTAGACCAGTTGTTGGTAATAGCAAAGTTGCCACAACAAATGAGCACATTATTCGTGCAACATCCTTAATATCAACTCTCGTTGTGCCTTCCAATGCATCTCATAATGCCTCTCGCAAACTCTTTACGGATATTCTTGACATATTACGAAACCTTCTCTGCACAAAATGTGATTCTTGTTTCTTTCCATATGACACATCTACTTTTTTCGTTCCCGATTTTATCCCAAAAATCAAAGTAACGTCACTGTCCTGTATGCCACATGTTTTCCCCCTAAGCTTAAATCCCTTTGCATGAAATTCATAAGATTTGATCACATCCATGACATTATCGTCAACTTTCTTGAACTTCTTTAACACCACATCATCTTTCTTCCAAAAAGATTTAAACAACATCCCAAAAGGTGTTCTTTCAAGGGCAGTAATGTGTCTTTTAGTGAACCTTGTGTCTCGCATTAGGTTTATCAATGAAACAATATTTGACCTATATTGTTTCATATAGTTTTCCCTCTCCCGTACTCCATGTACAATATTCAACTTCGAAGGTTTTGTTGTTGAAGGCATTAGATTGCTTTCTTTGCAGCCTTCATCATTACTAACATTTGATTGAACTTCTTTACTACTTTTGCTTTTTTTTAGGGACTTTCTTCTTTTGTATAACCATTGGTGGAACTTCAAAATCGTCATCATCATCATCACCACATTTGCTTCTTGTAATAACCATTTTACAACACTAAAAAGTTTCCCTATATCAATAGTGTAACATTTTACTTTAAACAACAAAGTGACAAAACAAATAAGCACTAAACAAAATGCATAAGCA